AATTAATTTTTTTTGTCAAAATATTTCATTTCCTTTTTTTATTTCTTGAAATACTCTCATATTAAATATAATATTATCCGTTTAGCATTGATTTTTTTACTTCTTTAAAAAAGCCTTCTAGATTTGAGCTTTTTTTTTGTTCTAACAACTCTTATTTATATACTTCGAATGCATCATTCTTTTCATTTGCACAATATAAATAATTCGATTGCATTTTCAAGTTTTTTTTTTTTTTGTGATGCTATACATATATATATATAATCAATGATAGCCTTTATCTATGTGTGTATCTCTTGTATGATAATCCTTATCCATAAATAGGCTTATGTCATACTACAATATAGGATCTCATGTAAACTATTGTTAATATAAATACACATATACCCACCCAACAAAAGTGTGGGCAGCTTTACATGGTTTCGCAGCATAACACGATCCTCTCGTTTTTTTTTTCACCATGCTTCTTAGCCCTTGTCCGTTATAATTTCAACACATGGCTTCTAGCACTTTTTCTTCCTTGTTCAATCCAAGTGATGTTCAATGTCAACATCTCTTTAATTTTGTCACTAAAAAACTTTACATGACAAACTATTTAACTTGGTCCTATCTCTTCAAATCCATCCTTGACGTTTATGATCTCAAAGATCATATTGCTATTAATTCCTTAGTTCCTTCGCCATGGTTCCTACCGCAAATGGCAAATCTAAGGAAAGAAATCCTACTCACTCAATATGGGTTAAAATTGATCATTTAATCCTAAGCTGGATTAATGCCATAATAAAAAGAGAGATTCTTCCTCTTCTCTATCAATCTAACACAACTACCGATGCTTGGACCGCACTTAAGTCACTTTCTTGATAAATCCACGACTCGTGAGTTGCATCTTAAGTTTTCCATGAATAAACTTATCAAAGGGAATCTTTCTATTGATGTTTATCGCCAACGCTTCAAAGAATTTGTTAATGCCCTCGTAGCAGTCCAACAACCACTTTCCGAATGCGAGTAAGTTAACGTAATCTCGTAAGGATTACCAAAAACCTATAAATCTCTTATTACTATCGCATCTAATCGAAACCAGCTCTAACTTTTGCTAAGTTATGGACTATGCTTTTAAATCATGAAGCTCGCCTTAATAATGTTGATTCTCTCTTTACTTTCTCTTTTCATACCCGGATAACATTACTCTCCGCTCAAACTCCGTCAAGCTTTTCCTCCACAACCGTAGTTCAGTTGAATAGCCCACAACAGTTTCACTTTCATAATTTTCAGCGTAGGCATAGTGATCGTAACAAGGGCCGTGGTAGTCATGGTCATAGACGTGCCTCTTTCCAGTATCACTCATCACTTGGCTTTTATAACTCTACCGCGCATCAACTTGGTTGTGGACGTGGTATCTTTGGAGATGCACCATTTTTCCCATCCTCGGGTGCTCCATCTTTTCATGGTAATTGCTTTCATTATGGTATTTATGGTCATACTATTGCAAAATGTCCAAACAAAACTTTCTCGGACTCCTCTAGCCATTTTGCTAGACTCTCTCTGATGAACCCTTCTACATGAATACTAACGCAACCTCTCATATGAGTAATTCGGTGGTAAGCTCTTACCTTTATCTTTACACACCGGTTCCGATTGTGTTACGATTGGCAATGGTTCTTCCTTACCTATAAAAGCTACTAGTAAACTTGAACTCCACACTTCTACTCATTCATTTTATCTTTCCAAAACTTTTTTATTTCCTATACTACAAAAGAACCTTCTTTCTATTCGTCGCTTTACTCGTGATAATAATTGTTAATTTGAATTTCACTCTTAGGGTTTTTTGATAAAGGATAATTATACGAGGATTACTCTCCTATGTTGCCCCAATAATGATCTACTATATCCCTTATTTCCTTCATCTAGTGTCACGTCATCTCCACAAGCCTTTGTTAGCACAACAACTTCGTTTGATGTCCGGCATGCACACCTTAGTCACCCTAGCTCTGTAGTTATTCAGCGCCTCTCATCTCATATTCTAATTTCATCCAACAAGAAAACATTCAAATTTTGTTGTCAATCATGTCTTATTTCCAAAGCATATAATCTCCTTTTTTCGGATAGCAATTCCTTTACTTTAAATTTTTTAGACATAATTCATTATGATGTTTAGAGCTCTCTTGTTGCTTCGTCATTGGTTTCAAATATTATGTGTTATTCATTGACAATTTCTCTCATTTTTTTGGTTATATCCTATGCAATACAAATCGATTCCCCGACATGTTTTGCAACATTCAAAATGCAAGTTGAAAAATTATGTTCCACTAAAATTAAGATTTTCGTGTCCGAAAATAGTGGTGAATTTATTGAAAATGCTTTTACCTAATTTTTAATTAATTATGATATCCACTTTTAAACTTTATGCCTCCATCCAGAGCAAAATGGAGTCGTAGAGCATAAACATCGACATATTAGTGAAATGAGGTGCACTCTTTTAACTCATTCCTCTCGCTCCTCTTTCTTTATGGGTTAAGTCTTTTTAAACCTCTATTTATCTTATAAATCGTCTTCCCACTCATGTTTTTGCTAATGTCTCTCCATTTTAGGTTTTGTTTCAAAAGCCACTTAATTATTCATTTTTACGAGTCTTTAGTCGTTCGTGTTTTTCTAATCTATAGGCATTTACACATCATAAACTTGAGTCTTGATTTACTCCATGTGTCTTCTTGGGATATAGCTCATAGCAAAAGGGTTACCATTGTATGTCCATAACTACGGGTAAGGTTTACATCAATAGGCATGTTCGGTTTATTGAACACATATTTCCTTATTATTCCCTTTTAGCATCCTCACCGGATCCTCATTGCTCCTCTCTCGCATGTTCACATCATCATAAATTAATCTCCTTCCTTGAACATAATTCCAATCTAAACTTTAGTCCCCCTATCGCCTTACCTTTTCCTAGCTCACGGCCAACCACACAACCCGATAGTCCCACTACAACTATCCAACCATTGCCACCACCGCAACTCGATGATACATCTTTATAGTAAACTAGTGTCTCTTCTCTAGTACCATAGCCGGCTCCCACAAACACTCATTCTATGCACACCCGTAATAAGTCCGGTATTTCAAAACGAAAAAACATCTCTCTTCCTATTTGCTACATAAATTCAACAACCAAAAGAGCCTAACACGATTGGTGTAGCATTAACGGATCCTCATTGGAAACAAGCCATGACGGATGAGTTTAATACCTTGGTCACTAATCATATATGGACTCTTGTCCCTTGTACACCAAATATGAATATCATTGGTGCCAAATGGATTTACAAGTTAAAATACAAAGCAGATTGTAGCCTAGAATGATATAAGGCTCGGTTAGTGACAAAAGGATATAATCAATAAACTCGGGATTAATTATTTTGATACTTATAGTCCCGTTTTTCGACATTTTACCATTCACATAGATATTACCCTTGCAGGGGCTAATAATCGGTCTATTCATCAGCTTGATGTGAAAAATGATTTCTTACATGACAACTTATATGCATCAACCACTAGGATTCCTTGATCGAGCTTTTCGTCATCACGTTTATCGACTTTGAAAAGCATCGTATGGTCTTAAACAAGCTCCTCGGGCCCGGTTCCAAAAGTTCGACTCAATTTCTAATTTTGTTTGGTTTTAAAAGCAGTATATCCGACAATTTAATGTTTGTTTATCGCATTACTAATGCATGTTCGGTTCTCCTTCTCTATGTTAATGATATCATAAGTAGCAAGCTCCAAGCACTCTTCTTTTGTCCAAATTCATCTCAAATCTTAAATAGGAATTCTCCATGACCGAATTAGGCCCTTTTTATTATTTTCTCGGTATAGAAGTTCATCGGTCTACAAACGAGTATGTTCCTCTCTCATTCTAAGTATGCCGAGGACCTTTTAACCCATGCCAAGCATGCTGCAATGCAAGCCCGCATCAACCCTAGTCTATGGCATAAAATTATCACTCTCGATGGTGTTCTACTTTCTAACCCTATAAAGTTTCAAAGCTTTGCTCGGTGTACTTCGATACCTCACTCGACCCACCCGGACCTTTCATTTGCCATCAACAAGCATCCGTCGGTTCATGCATAATCCAACGATGACATGCTTTCGAGTCGTAAAAAGGATTCTTTGACACGTTGTAGGCATCGTGTCTCGTGGGCCGACCATATCACCCGGTTCCTCTTCCGACTTAATAGCCTTCTCCGATGCCGATCGGGGAGGCCGTCCCGACACGGACGCTTAACCACTCGGCATCGCCATCTTCTACTCTAGTGGTCCTTGTTACATGATTTTCTCGTAAACAACACACTCGTTTCAAGGTCCAATACGGATGTAGAATGCAAGGCCCTTGCTACTACTCGTTGCCGAGATCGACTGGTTGACTAATATCATTAGGGATCTTGGATTGAAATTATCTAATCCACTAGTTCTCTTTTGTGATAACATTAGTGTCGTTTACCTCATAACCAACCTAGTCTATCATGCCCGCACCAAACATCTTGAGCTAGATTTTCATTTTGTTCGTGAAAAGGTAGCTAGTAAATTATTATATGTTCGATACATCCCTATTGAGAATCGGGTGATTGATATTTTCACAAAAGCTCTCTCCATACAGCACTTCAAAGAGTTGTGTGGCAAGCTTCACATGAGATCAAAGTCCTCCTAGTTTGGATTGAGGGAAGATGTTAGTAGTAGTCTTTATCTATTGGTGTATCTCTTATATGATAATTCTTATCTATAAATAGGTTTATCTTATATTACAATATAAGATCTCATGTAAACGATTGTTAATATAAATACACATATATCCACGCATCAAAGTGTGGGCAGCTTGGTATATATATATATATATATATATATATATATATATATATATATATATATATATATATCAAGTGTTGACCCAAAGTCTAGCGCAACCAGTTTCAAGATGTGAACAGAAGATTTGCTTGTCTAACATGATCTCTCTGAAAAAAATGGTTGAAATGAGAAATAAATGGCTCGTGCTCCAAGCGCGAGAGACATTGATGGGTGTTTGACGTCTTAGTGGACCATGCCTCTGCCTGTACCTAAACCTATGAGGTACCATAAAGTTCCCATGGTTTTGCTGGTCCAGATGAATCGGTTTTCAACTCATTCCTAACCGACTCGTGAATACCAATTTGGTAGTATTAGGTAAGTTAGTGTCTGATTCAAATGCCAACGCTCTTTCAATCCCAGCATTTTGGTCCTATGCGTGATGTCGATGATTCATTGAGAAAGGAAACCTTTGAGCCTTCTTAGAAATGAAAAGAAAGGATATATATAATATAAGAAGATTTTAATTCTAGTCATTTCCGTTTATGTAATAAAAAAACTATCTCTTATTGAATGGTTCAAAACCCAACGAATTTTCTAATAAACCAAAAAAGGAAAAGGAAAACTAACCCATTTATATTACGATTAGCATATTAACAAATAGCAATGGTGAAAAAGATGAAATAATCAAAGTGGTATTGGATTCTCCAACAGTTGGAATGAACAGAAACATGACCATATTTGATCTATCCATGATACAATGGCTCTCAAATTAAAGGGACCTACTGCATTTAAAAATATGCTGGACAAATTAGGAAAGCCCTATTGCTTGTCAGCTTTTTTTCCGAGAATACATTTATGAATGCCCTGACCCTGACCCTGACCCTGAGGCCTGGTCGTAATAAAAGGAAAGTGCATACAGTTTCCTTGACTGGATTGCCCCACTGAATTGATAGTGCTTGGGATGTTCGGCCCTGGCCCTGTCCCTGTCCCTCACTATTTCATGTGGGGATGAATATAAAAGGTGAAAACATACAAGCTGTTTTATCACATGAATTTTATTTTTTATTTTTTATTTTTTTCATTCCGTTGGAGCTTCGTAATCTGCAAATGTAGCTTTTATTTTTCATGGACAAAAGGTAGGTAACTTCATCTAGGTATGCATCCAGCTACCATTCTATGAGATTTCATTTACTTAACCAACCACTGTGCAAAAGAAAATCAGTATTATTAGTTGGGGGTATCCGAAACCATCTATACTAAAGATTTTGTAATTTAATAATAGTCATCTTTAACAATAAAAGATTATAGATTTAAATCCTAATAAATTAATTTTATGAAGAGTTTTAAATGTATGAGTTAAAAAAAAAAACACCAAACCATCGATGGGTTTTTTTGCATCATTTTGACAAAGATGACATATATTCAACTATATCTCGACAAAGATGACATCATTTTGGGTATATGAGTTTAAAAAAATAAAAAATAAAATTTTGAGTATATGAGAACCAAACCATCCATGAGTTTATTCGGAACATAATTTTTCTGAGTTCAAATTTTAAGAAAAACTGTCTAGAGATTATTATTATTTTTTTTTTTTGGCATCATTTTGACAAAGATGACATATATCCAACTATATACAAAGCTAAAACCACTAAAGCCTGTCGTTGGAATATGCTTACCATTATAAAATCAGAATGAGATTAAAAAAAAAAAATTAGTAGTTTTGCAATAAGATCATGGTTTTTTAGGTTTTATAAACTTCTTGAAAATTTAGTTTATCTACATCTAAATATTAGTCCTAATCGTTGAGGTACTCTAAGTTTTGACCTTAAGATAAAGTTCTTCTTAAATGTGTATAGTTGTGAAAAAATAAAATAAAAGATTTTTATGAGATGTGGAATTAATATATTTATATTATTATTGTCTACATCGTTACTATTACAAAAAAACTAAAAGATATGAGGTTTTTACTTATTTACTGTAGTAATTTTTTTTGTTTTTGAATTGCTTTGGCTATCTGGCGCGCTGGCCAATCTTGAAAACTCACGCCTGGCTTTTTCATTTTTCCCTTCATTTTTCCATATATATATCATGAATTAGGTGTGAAAAATATAAAAAATAAATCATTATTTTTTTAATTTTACGTACAGTTTAAAGATAATAGAATATATATGATATTTTATAAAATTTTAGTTTAAACATATATATTTAATTATATTATTTTTATTGTTTAAAATTTATTTCTTCAATTATTTGTTTCTTTTTAAAATTCTCATCAAATTAATTTTTTGATATAATTTTATTTGTTAATAAATTTGATTTTTTAATATATTAATTTTGGAATAAAATTTTAGGAAGTTAGTATTTTATTTTTTAAAAATATATTATTATAATTTATATAATAAATTATTTTTTTGCTTTTTGAAAGAGAGAGAGAGTTGAGAGTCTATTTTAGATATTTTAGCTCAAATTTTTTTAAAAAATATATAATCATTAAAAGAATTTATAAGTTTTATTTTATATATATATATATTCAGAATTTATCGGAATCAATTTTGTTGTAGTCTTTATTTTAATATATTAACTTTAATATATTTCATACAATTTAGCAAGATTGGCCTTTTTTTTTCTTTTTTCTTCACACACACACACGGGAAGAAATGCCCTGTGCGGCCGGGATAGGCCATATATATCATGAAATTAAGCGTGCAAAATAGAGAAAATAAATGGTTTTTTTTTTTTTTTTTAGTTATATGTATAGTTTGAAGATGATAGAATATATACGATATTTTTTAAGATTTTAATTTGAACATATATATCTAATTATATTACTCTTATTGTTTAAAATTTATTTCATCAATTATTTTTTTCTTATTAAAATTCTCATCAAATTAATTTTTTGATATAATTTTATTTGTTAATAAATTTGGTTTTTTAATATATGAATTTTGGAATAAAATTTTAGAACGTCGGTGTTTTATTTTTAAAAAATATATTATTATAATTTGTATAATAAATCATTTTTATACTTTTTAAATGAGTGTTTTATTTTTTAAAATATGTTATTATAATTTATAAATTCTGATTATATATATAGAGAGAGAGAGAGAGGGAGGGTGGGGGAGGGAGAGAGTTAAAAGTATGTTTTAGATAGTTTGGCTCATTTTTTTTAAAAAAAATAAATAATCAAGTAAAAAATCACAAATTTTATTTGCTTTTATATATATATATTTATTTGAAATTTATCACAATTTATATATATATTTTTTATATTACTTTTATATTTTTTTATATTCTAAATTTTTTTAAATAAAATAAGTCAAATAATGTTTTGAAAGAACATCCTAATTATTCAAATACAAATTTTTATGCTAATATGATTAAATATTTTGTTAATAAATATATATAAATCAAACGACTTCACTCAACATATAGATTCGATTTACATTAATCATCAAAAATAAAACTTACATTCGCACTACATCTACGAATCGTTAACTCTATGTATGTAACGGTTATTTGACCATAGCATAGCGTAGGTATCTAACTAGTTTTGTTCTGAATGAAATGGATAGTATATCTATTTCCATCTCAATAAAATAAAACCAAAAAGAACTGGTTCATCTCAATTAAAAATGTTAGATCTCCTAATCAAGGAGTTTTTGAAATTTTCAAAACTAAAACAACAAAAATTCTTAAAATTCCTATTTTTCTCAACTAAAACATGCAAAAATCGGCACTCTTTGTATTGAAGCATCTTTATTTTATATGGATGATATATTTTCTTTACGTAGATTATTTTAAATTATTTTTTTTAGACACTTAGTAATGAAGTTAGTCTATCTTTAAATATCTGGATTGAAATTTATTTATCTTAAACCGCTACTTTAAATATTTCTTTATGTATATATATATAACGCAAGTCTTATTTTTGTTTCAACGAAAATAAAAACTCTATTAAATTAAAATTAAAGAAGAATTTTATCTCTAGATTAGAAGCCAATCAAGAAACAAAAAGATTCTCTATGAAAAAAATAAACAAACTTATATGCCATTGTAAGGACGCATAAAAATATATAGTGAAAAGCTTATATAGAAACTAAATATTTAAAATTCAGATTTAAAAATTAAAAAATTATTGTATAAGCGAACACATAGCTAGAATACTTATTGTCCATAATCTACCAATAATTTTACTACTTTGATCTTTTTTAAGTATAAAAACAAAAGAGACAAGAATCATAGATTAATCTTAAATCTAGTATGTAATTGTTTTTACTCTAATTTTCCTTTTGTTTGAGCGTAATTCTCCTTTGAGAGCCATTTGATACTATAAAACCGATTTTGCATTCCAGATTTATCAATAAAATTTCTTATTTTTGACAAAAAAAAAAAAAAAAACTACGGAATAAAAAATATATCACCTTCACTAGCGTTAATATCAAAGAAAACTTTTCTAGCATTTAATGAATCTGGGACGTTGGAGATTGCCCGCCCCATACGTTAACATTAATTGAGCCCACAACAGTCTTTTGGCTGATCATTATTTGGTGCCATATATATTTCTCATTTTTCGATAGACAGTCCCAGTAAAATATTATAGGTATCAGAAATGTGACTCCACAATAGTGAAAGGGATTGAGTGACATCGCCAAGGAGGACAACGGGCACAAAATTTTCAACTCCAGTTATGGGCAATTGCCATAATTTCATTACTTACTTTATCTGTGCTGTATATATTCAAGTGAGATATAAACCAAAAAGTTTGAGATTCCTTTTTTTTTTTTTTTTGGTTAAACATTAAGTTTGGAATGTTTATGTCAAGGAGATAGATGTAAATTAATATTTCAAAAATTTAAATTTTTAAAATTATGATAAATATATGTCTTTATGTTTTGTTATCCTCAAAATTTGATTAGGACTAGCAGCTCAATAAATTAATTAAAGTCGAAAGAAGGCTTTGATCAAAAAGCCCATATGTGTGGCTTTTAAGACCCATTGGCACTTCAAATAAATTATAGTCTAGTAGTAAATGGTCTTTTATAAAAAAAGATTACAAGTTCAAATCCTAGTATACTAATTCTACTACGAGCTTTGGATGTGTGAGTTAAAAATAACAAACTTATTGGTGCCCAAGGCACATCGGGATAGCAACATCACAATGGATAGTATACCCGTTAGTAACAAGACTTCCAACACCATTAAAAGTGTAAGCAAGACGTGGACGAGTAGACTCGTTAGTAGGCAAGACATCCAACACCGAGTAAAAGTGTAAACATGGAGGACATTCGAGTACAAGCGGAACTATCGACAACGGTAGGAATGCTACGGGTTAATCGAGTTGGTCAATTTCCTATTTACTATCAAACACCTTGTAATATATCTTGTATAACTATAGACATTTATCACATAGTCTAAGTATATAAATACGTTTGCTTACATCAAGAATAATACAAGAGTTTTTAATATTTCACATTGTTAGAGACTAGTATAAATTATATTCTAGAGCCTCACTTATCGACTTAAACTTTTAGGTAAGATAGTCATTTAATATGGTATCGAGCTTGGTTGACCTTGAGGTCCCGAGTTCAAGTCTCACCATCCTCATTTTCTCAAGTATTAAGCATAAGGCAATGTAGACTCGTGCAAGTTTCATGCCACTAAATGTTGGGCCTTTCACTTGAGGGGTGTGTTAGAGACTAGTATAAATTATATTCTAGGGCCTCACCTATCGACTTAAACTTCTAGGTGAGATGATCCTTTAACACACATTGTATCGAGCCTATCCTTTTCTTTTTTCAATAATTTTCTTCTTCTTCTTTATAGCCGACCACCTCATTGCTTCCTCTAATACTACTATCTCTACCACACCCATCTCCCATCACACTTTTGCCATAAAACTCACTACCCGTAATTTTCTCCTTAGGAAAATCCGAGTTCTTATCCTTATTAAACTACCACAAACTAATTGGTTTCATTGATGGCACAACCTCCCTACCATCATCCACCATTCCATCCGATACCACTCTCTTCACATCGATTCCTAACCCAAACTTTGAATCATGGTTCAAAAAGACCAACTGCTACTATCTTGGGTGCTCTATTCCCTATCCGAGGAAGTCTTTCCATATGTAATTGGATTGCCCTCTCTTACTCATTTTCAAAGGCACTAGAAAGTGCGTTTGGTTATATATCTCAAAATCGTCAATTACAACTCCATATAGAACTACGAGAACTAAAGAAAAATGATCTATCCATCATCGATTACCTTTAAAAAGCCAAAAGCTTAATGATAAACTTTCCTCTACTTGGTCACTCCATCTCTACTGCGAGTATAATACGATTATCTATTGCAACATTGGGAGTGAATACCACCCAATCATTATTGTATTGAACTTGGGACCCGATCATATCTCCTTTCCAAAACTCCATGATCATCTCATTGCACATGAAATTTTAATCAAAAGAATGCATGCTTATCTCGCTGCCAATGTCGTATTAAAGTATCTACCGGGCTCTTCCTTACGTCCACTTTCTTTGTCTCCCTTAATCGGCGAAACTTATCGGTCTCCGAATTCCATTCATTAAGCCGGTACATGCAAAATCGTGGTCCTTGCTAGATTTATGGTTTCGGGAATCATACTACCGATAGGTGCGAGCACCGTTACATGCTACGTCAAAATTCCTTCGCTTCCCTATAGGCTAATGTCTGCTTGGCATGATTCAGCTATATCAGTCCATTCCATTCACTCGTCACCCTTCGAGTGTGCCTTACGCTTACTCTCCTCTTCCTTCTTCTCCTTCGATGGGCTAATATCCCGATATAAATGCTCCACATAATATGACTCCCGACTACTCCGGTCTCTCTAATGTTTCCATTTATAAGGGTACGGATAAGATTACTATTGGTGATAGCCAAGGTTTGCCTATTTCTCATGCTTGGTGTTACTTTTCTTCCTTCACTTCCCTCAAATATAAATTTTAAACTTCAAAATGTTTATCATGTTCCTACTCTAACTAAATCATTTCTATCCGTTCAAAAGTTCACCACTTATAACAATTTTTTTTTTGAATTTTGGCCCTCTCATTTTTTAGAAAAGGATCGAGTGAGCAAGGCAATCCTATTGCAAGGTAAGAGTGAGAATGGACTCGTATCGTCTTTTATCTCCACACAAGCAAGCTTTCATAAGCCAAAGTGTCCCTTTTGTAACTTGGCACTCTCGTTTTAGTCATCCCCAACCTCCCACCGTAACGCCCCCGTCCCGAGTCATATTTATACTATCCAAGTAGAGTACTAGACGAAGCGCGTTACGCCGACATACCCTAAACTCTAAGTAGTTCCGTTATGATATTTTTAAAACTTTAACGAGCACATTACGTATATAACTCCTTAAGATAAAATTTACATCACATAATTAAATATATTAATAAAACATTACAAGAAATATTCGATTTCTCACGAACTCCATACCTCAAATTTACGGATAAAATAAAAACTAATATATGGTGCCTCACATGAGCTAGTTAGGAGGAGCCGACCGCATCCGTACCAACTTGTCCTTTTTCCGTCACAACATAAAAATAACAACGGGGTGAGCCGAAGCTCGGTAAGTAGGGTGATGCACGTGATATGCAATGTTGTTTTGACTTCCCACCATACTCATAAATTTTAATCTCGAGTACCCCGGATATTAGCCGGTCTACTCTATTTATCATCCGGGTGGTCCGCGAGATCACCTTTTGCTACAACGGAATTATCCCTCGTTGTAACTACGTTAGCGGGAATCCATCGTCTAACAGGTGCAAGCACACAGACTTGATTTCATCCGAGATGATCCTCGAATCATCTTCTCGCTACAACGGAATTATCCCTCGTTGTAACTACTATTAGCGGGAATACATCGTCTAATAGTGCGAGCACACGACCTAGAGCACTTCGGACTACTAATACCCATTTATTTTTAATTTGGTTACTAAACCATGTCATTTCATGACTCGATGATTTTTCTCAACTTATTCCACCCCCAATGCACGTGATGTACGTGATGACATATTTAATCACATTCAATTAAACTCGGGTACCAACCCTCCTTTTTTAAGCCATACTCACGGTTCAACCAATACTCGGGATTCATCCGTCGCTCACATACCAATCTTGGTACTCATAACGGGAACACAACCTCTCGCTCATTAATATCGTTAATTAGTTTCGTTAATATTTAAAAGAAGGTCCAAGTCCATTTACCTTAATCCAAGCCCATTAACTTTATCCTAAGTCCATTGACTCTATTCAATTCCATTTTATTTATTCCAAACCCATTAATTTTGTCAAAATCTAATTTTTTTTTGGTTTTAGGGTTTATTATCGGGCAACTCCTAATCGAGTAAATAATTTTCTAATTTTAGAACATAAGTAAATCTTACCTATTTTATTGTAGATACTAGACATATTTATTTATAACATATCCAAAAATTAGGTCTAAATACCAAGTACACAATTAATTAAAAAGTTTTGAAACTTAGGGAGCAATCTGCCTAGTAGTAGTTTGTCTAGAGCTATACATACTAAATCGGGTATAACTCTTCATACACGAATCCAATGACCAAGAAATTTTAAAGGGAGTTATTTGAAATATAGATGAACAACTTTTATTCTTTACGTTTCATCTAGAAATGGACCTAAAATCCTTAAACATGCACTCTAAAAGTCGGACAGAATTTACTCCTTATCAACACTAATTTATTAGTTCATTCCAAGCCAACTTTAAACATAGTTTAGTTCACTTAAATTTAGTCCAAGTTCAATCCAACCCACCACCACATACTTAGAAATTTTACAAAAGATCATAACATTATAAATCATCACAACAAGGCATCCATACATAGATTTATCCCAAGCATCAAGCATATAACCAATGAAGATTATAACAACCCATGAAATAAACACTAACAAAATAACTTAAACAAAATAATTTAAGACATTAATCAGCCAAAAAATGAAACCTACTTACCTCTTTTAGGTTTGATTAGAATTTCTTTAGCTCCTTTTCTTTCCTTTTTCCCTTTTCTTTCTCTTTTCTTTCTTTCTCTCTTTTTGTTGTTTTTCTCTCTTCAATTTGGCTTCTCTTTTTAATTCTGGATGGCTACGGTTTTTGGCCTAAAAATGGCAGCCATTTAACCCTCTCTTTCCCTTATATACCCACCTTTTATCCTCTCATTTATTTATATCATAAGTGTTAAAATTTAACTAGGCCAAATGTAAAGTGAAAGAAGCTTGGAAGGCAAAGTCGGCACGTTTTGGAAGTCAAAGGTGATGATTTGGCTTCTAAGCATTTAATTCAAGTGATTAGGTGGCTAAAGAAAACTTAGGATAAATAAAAACATTAATAAGCTGGGTTAATGTAATTGGAAAAACTTTCTTTCATAAAAAATTCGAAAATTTCCATTTTTAAAATTCGAAATTTCTTTTTCTCCAAAATTTCAGCGAGTGTTACCTCCTAACCCATCTATAATACAATGTGCATACCTCTTTCTATATGTATCCAAAATTTATGAACTTTTATAGAAATCTATTAAACACATAGACAAACAACTTTTATTCTTTACGTTTTTCTCAAAAATCAATCTAACAACATCAAATAAATCTCACAAGATTCAGGCGATTCTTCTCCCAAAATTTCAGCATAATGCATTTCGAAACAACCCTCACTATAATTGGTATAACTCTTAATGTATAGGTCTAAATATTATAAAATTTTATACAGGCCTATTAAACACATAGATGAACAACTTTCATTCTTTAAGGTTGACCCAAAAATTACCCTAAAGTCCTCAAATAATTCACACAAAACTCAAGAAGAATATAGTCCTTAAAACACTGATTTTGCATATTTGATTTCTTTAATAATTAAACCATTAATCTTAAGCATAATAACTTTAATTTAACATAAATCACATATTTCAAGCATTAATTTCTCATGATGAAATGATAATTATACTTACTCTTAATATACATATATATAGAATTATTCTAATACACGTTGCGTTACGGATAAAGGTTTTTACGGGGTTACACCCACTATCCCCAAAATTATAAAAGATAATAATTTTTAGTGTTCCAATAAATTTATATCTGTTCATAATTGTTTTACGTGTCACTTAGGAAAGTTAACTCATTTGCCTTCAGCATTTGTTGAACATACTAGTAGTAAACCTTTTGATATTATTCATTCGGATGTTTGGGGGATTACCCTTGTGATTTCTAATTTAGAATAT